AATGAACGCTTTATAGAATTAACTTTAGGCCTAAATATACCGAAATAAAGCTATGAATATGCAAATAAACTTCAGTCACCTCAGCACAGGGTTGCCTGTGTCTTCGATACAATTGACACAAATAGAAATCGGAGACACAAATGGAAGACACAAATGGATGCAGGTGGATGACACTTGCACTGATGACACTTGCACTCAGTTGCACTTGCACTGAGTCCCAGACACTTTTATGTTTGTGTGCCACCCTTTGAGTTGTAATCAAGCCCTACCCATCACCCCTAAGAGAGCATACTCGAAAACTTATTAAAATAAGAAAGATTATTCAAGCTAAGTAAAATGACCAAATACAAATAGAGTATTTCATACCAGCTGACCCCTTTAACAAAACCATCTTCCATGTCTTCGTATCTGTAGTCTATCGACACGTAAAGGATGTCTGAATTGAAGAAACATGCAATTCAACAGATCAAGAAATACATGGTTCAAATTGACAGTGTGCTTAATTAAAGTTAAGTTAATATCACAGTGATATTAACATCACTAAAGGTCCACAACTGGGTCCACAACTGGGCTATCAAACGCTAGTATCTTACATGGACTGTAAAGCCAGTTAAGATCTCCCCCCTGTGACTTCATGGTACGTGGCCGCAAAATAATGTAAGTTGCGTCAATTATACATATGATTCCTGTAATAAACTGCCACCAAGCTACCCACGAGGGCATGGAAACTTTCTTTTCGTTAGCCATCTTCTCTCTCCAGGGTCTCTTGGGCGTTTGTGACCTTCTGGAAATTCGATCGTTTGGAAACCCTGACCCATGATACATTGCGCCAACTCGTGTGCAAATTTCCTCTTTGGGAAGGTTTCAAGATGACGGTGCGATTTCTTCCGCTTTGGGTTGCAGTTTGGCTCGGTATTACGAGTACCACATGCACGATCGATTCTTTGTTTGTGCTTTTGCGACCTCATACACTACCTGGCGGAAAATGGAACTACGTTTTCCAACCTTGTAAGCCTTAAATAACTTAACTAAGTGTCTCGATCGCGTGACTCAATTCAAGATAAGCTGTATGATAATAAGCTTTAAAATATTTAATATTTCTATAGCGCGAATTAACATATATATTTTTATATATGATCAAATGTGCCTTACAATAACATACACAAATCGTAAAAAATAAAATTAAAATCCACTTAGTAAAAATACATGTATTCAACCTATATCCTAATAAAGAAAGGATACATTACAAAATGTTAAAAATTACATCTGCTACTAAGGAGGCTGGCAACAGTTTCCAGCACTTTTCTAACAGCTATACTTTGAAGGATGAATACTATCACCATTTAACAAGTGATGTTACAATAATGATATCATGCAAAATCCTTATCATTGGTAAACAAGTTGCAGTCATCCTTTTTGTGTAACAGGTTACCATAGCAACAATGTGTGGGTTCAGAGCCACCTTAAATTTTCGAAAATTTAAGGTGACTCTGAACCCACTCCACAATAGTTTTTTGGACTTCGTAAAAAGTTGCATCTTATCATGCTTATTACAATTCGATAATAAAAAATGGGGGTCACGGAGCTTATATTTAAGTTATAAGTGCTTAAAGCTAAAATTAAGGGTGTTTTTAGCAGGTCCTATTGTTTCTATGGTAACCAATTGTGCCACAAAATTGACAGTAGCATGTTCACCAATGATTGGGTAGTTTTTTTTATACCACGATTTTGGCATCAACCAATATAGTGTTTATAATGACCCATCAAAATCTAAGTCTNGCAAAGCTGGTCTGGCAGTGCTGCTTGCCTTCATGGTCTCTACCATGACATTAGCTAAGACAGTGTTATATTTCCTTATCTGCTCTCCTTTGTGTGGTGGACCACACTTTGTGAACTACATTGATTTGAAGAAACTGATTTTTGCATTCATTATTCCAAACGGTATCTGGATAGTTGTTCCCTTCCTCTGTGTGATGGCCACAGGAAAAATAATTTTAGATTGCATGGAGAATGGTGAACCAAAAGCAAAGAAACTGAAATCTCATTAGTGTTTTGTAAGAGTAATGCACTTTTAAAGTTCTCTATAACAAATAATTTGGCATACAGGCTATATGCATTTAATTAAAGATGTCCTACACAATAATTTTTCTGAGACAGCCCATAAATCTTGTTATTCTTTTTGTACCACAGAACTGACAGGAGCAACAGCCTCACTGTTAATGGGTGTACTTCTGCAAAACATCCATACCCTGATTAATCAAAGGGCTCTATGAGCCAACTCATTCATGCTCTTTGCCATGAAATGATTTAAGTGTTTATTGAGCATTACAATGTTTATTAATGTTGGTGGCACATCAATAAGCGTCAAGCTTCTTCCTGACATGTATCTTAGCTATCAGCAGGCTTACAATTGACTGGATGATTGGGGAATGAATCATGTGCTGTACAATAGATTTGGACAATATAGCATTGTTCTGTGTGTTGTTGTCAAGCATTTGTGTTCATTGTTTAGCAAATGTTGTGTCGTCTATAAGAAGTGAAAGCTTTATATTCACTGTTTGCTTGTTACAGCTTATGTATGGTATTTTATTCAAAGAAAATGCGAGTGATCTAGTGCACATTTGTCAGTAAACCTTGAGAAAGCTTGCGAAACTTTTATACATATGTCTTGTTACAAAAAATACAGGACAAAATTAAAGATGAATATTCTATATCATATGCCTTACATTGAGCCTATTTTGTTATTTTGGTGGAATGCACAGTGGGAAGGTTGAGTGGATGCAGATAGGTATGCATGTACACTAATATAACAACAGCTACATCCGGGATACATCTGATTCTACTGCGCAAGCCCGAAGGGCTTATGACATCATTACATCGTTACAGTAACGACGATGTGTGGATATAAAAGTACGCATTATTCATAGGTTACAAAGTTTGTAGCCTGTGAGCAGGCTCACCTTTGAGTCACGCGCGCGCTAGTCCTATCTAATTCCTATTGAGCCATCATAAACGAAATCTCTATGTACGCACGGCCGTGCGTATGTTAAAGAATTGGTTCAGTGCTTTTAGCTGGGCGTATATCGAGTTATGGATGCACTTGGGAAGTTTGGAGAGCACTCAAGAAGCTAGAGTTGCTCTCGGCTATCGCCTCGAGCAACTCTTACGCTTCTTTCGTGCTCTCCAAACTTCCCGCATGCATCCATAACTCGATATYAGCACGCTAAGCATGAACCAATTCTTTAGAAGTTTCTTTCCCGAATTACCTCGCATCCAGGTTGAATTTGGATGTAATGAAAATGACAGTTAACCGTGAAAAGTGACTGTTTGCTTTTTCCAACTTGAAAAATCTCCAGGCCTTGGGACTAAAGCTGTAGATGTGTACCCGTGTCAAGTCAAATTAGGCCTGCACTTTGGTTGGCACGTACACCATCCAACTGGTTTATTCCTTTGCTTCTAAGCTCTCGTGAGTGATCACTTAGCAATTCAACGCTCTTCGTGGTGAAGCTTTTTAATATATCGTAGATCTGCTCAAGCCCCACAACCCAGCTAGAACACTTAGATCGTCCACTCAGAATCTCCTTTGCAAGCCAAGTTTTAATTTAAAAGGTTATGGGGCCATTCATTTGCCGTGTCGGCTCTAACTGTGTGGAACATACTTCCAAAAGATATTTAAGACTCGTCTTCTACGAACATTCTCAAAAGTAAACTGAAAACGTGGCTTTTTAAACAAGCATTTTTGAGTTAAAGTTTTTAATTACATATCTTTTTAAATTTTTGTCTGTTTTTGACATTTCTTAATTTTTTATAGTAAGTATTTGCTTATAGATTTAATTTCTTGTAAGCGCCATTGAACCATTGGGAAATGGGGCTATGAAAACTTTCATATTATTATTAATAAAAAGAATGGATAGTTAACCTTTGTCTTGGTATCATCTCTTGCGCGAACATGCCCTGCAAAACACTGTACCACTAAAACTCGTACCGAGGTCTTTTGGCGCTGTGCAAAAATTTTTCTGATCTACTCACAATTTGACAAATTATCTGTAAAACAGAAAAATTGCACTTTATATCCATTTTAGAATTC